ATAACATTTATTATTTTTATAAAAAAATAATAAAAATGTAAAAAATGTGTTAAATAATTTTTTTTTTCAATTTTGGTTAAAATTATTAAATTAAATTTTTTATAAACTTCAAAAATTTTTTTGGGTGAAATTTAATAATTTATTATTAATTTTAAATTTTAATAGTGGATATATACTCCCTCCGTTAAAAAATATATAGCTTTTTTGAAGAATTAGATGTTAAAAAATGTAATGCATTTTTAGTCTTTTGAGGTGTAATCATTGCCCTTTTTTTCTTCCAAAGTGCCCCTATTGAATAGATGACTTTATATTTTTTCAAAGTATAAATAGGGATAAATATGAAAAAATAAGATTAGTTTAAAAATAAGTAATTACTTTATTGATGGTGAAATTAGATTAAAAATGCTTTTTATTTTTTAACAGAGAGAATATATATAGCTAAAAAAATGAGTTCAGCCCAACGGGTTAGCTCGTTAACCCACCAATTAACAAGCTGGGCCAGCAAAATGAGCTTGTTTTTTAAAATGGGTTATATTGGACCAGCCCACCAAAATAGTGGGCTAAACAGGCCAGTCCCCATTAAAGAAAAAAAAAAACACCGAATACTCTACTCTACCTTTTCTTTCCTCACCTTCTCCCACGTGTTCACGTCACCTCCCATCTTTATTATTACTTTATGACTTTCTCCTTCTCTCTCTCTCTCTGTTTTTTTTAATACAAGGCCACAATAAAACTGTACAAAAAGACTAAAGATAAAGGTAATATCAAAAGCCATGGGGCTTATATAATCAGGAGGCGGGTTGATAAAGATAAATATATCAAAATCTTCATAAGGAGTCTTGTGAGCTAGAAGGTCAGCACAGTTGTTTACTTCCCTATAAATATGATCAAAAGTAACAGTCCAATCCTCATAGAGAGATCTCTAATGTTTTTGAAAATCTCGGAAAGGAGGTGGGAGTCACAACATCCGTTGTTAATGTGTGGTAATGCTTCCAGGGAATCAGAATGGACATTAATTTTAGTGAGCTTCTCATTCCAGCAGAGTTTGAGATCTTCTAAAATTACATAGAGCTCGACTGTAATGGTGGAGTAATAACCAAGATTCTTAGAGAATCCCTTAATCCATTTACTTTTGTCATCTCTGATAATGCCTCCATTGACAGAGTCATCCACGTCGAGTCTTTCTCTCTCTTTCAATTTCACTTTTACTTGCATGGACTTGCCACACTTCAAAAATCTTTTACTCTCACCTTCTCTCTCTTTCAATTTCACTTGCCCTCAGCCATTCTCCCTTTGATTTCTCTTCTAAGTTCTCACTTTTCAGTCGTGCACTCGTTCATCTCTTCCACCACTCAAGAACTTCTCCTTCACTCAGTCTTGCATAGCTCTATGTCGTCATACTTAATTGTCTCAACCCTCAAGCGCTCAACTTCAACTGTTCAAGCTCGACATCAACTCAAAACACGACTTTGCATCCTAAATCTAGACTCGTGCCATCACTGTTGAGTGCTGACTACTGTGCGCCTGTTGCTCTGATTGCGTTGTTTGAAGTGTCGGCGTTCCTATGGTATGGTTGAGCCATCTCACATTCTCACCAAATCGATTTTTAGATCTATTTTTTTTTCTATTAATTTTTCAGATCCGTGTGTTGCCTTCTTCAATAATCTAATTTTTTGTTCATGACTTTATGCTGGTAGTTCTTTTATTCTTAGGTTGCTTTAACTTGATAATCTTCTTCAACTTTCTTCTTGTTCTTCAATATCAAATACTTTTGGAATACAGTCAAAAAATCAAGGTTTTTTTTAAATTAAACAGCATTTTTATTGGCTGGCCCCACCAACCCGCTAGCCAACACATATGTGGGTTGGGTTGAATTTTTTAGACTGCTTTTTTTAATTGCAGGCTAACCCAATCTAACTCATAAAATGATCAACCCGTATGGGTTAGCTCGTGTGCCAACTCGCAGCCATATTCCTAGTGCTAAATTATATATGTATATAATAGATCAAATTATAAGAGTTCAATTAAAATAAGATAAATTATAGAATTCAATTTAAAATTGAGGAAAATTATAAAAAAGAAATACAGATTAGTTTTCCCTATTAAAAACAACAGAAAGTATCTTGTACGAGGAACCAGGGGTATATGATGATAAGGGATTCAACGCTGACCTTTATTCATATCCATATTCGTATCACTTAGGGTTCAAGCAGAATCGAATCGACCACCAAGCACAAGCACTTTGCCAAGCACCAACGGGATTGTGCACCAAACATCATGTTGGGCCAAGTCTTGAGCCTCTCGTGGGCTATATGATATGTCCACTTTCATCACCCCAAGAACAAAGCCCACTTACCTCATGATTGGCTAAATGTATTGGGCTGTGCCTCTATAGTGATGGGAATGCTCACTTGAGTATTTGGTAGAATTGGGAGATTCCACAATAGTTTTCCCCCTCTATATATAAGGAGTAAGCTTTAATAATAGCACGGATTATATTTCTCCAAGTACTGATGGCAAGTAGTATATGTCTCTCAACTAAATTATTACATACACAAAAATTGTAATTCAAACCCTTACAATTATTTGAGTAATGAAAATTCTTACTACCACTTATATTAATTTTAGTTGGTGATTCAACAACAAAGTTAATCATATTTGTAGATTGTAGAACATATGATAATCCAATCTAACAAATTATTAAAAAAATAAATAACCTTGTTGAAGATAACGTGGTGGTTAGGATAAGGTGAAATGTGAGTGAAGTTATATATATCATAAATGATTAATTTTATAATTATCTAACTTAAAATATGTATTCATTTATAATTTTATTTAACAATTATATATATATGTGTGTGTGTTTGATTATATAGAGTTTTAAATCAACAAATTAAGATAACTTAGGTAAAAAAAAAGGTTAATGAGTATCTTGGATCTTAAACTATTACTTGAATAACATCTTGAATTTTAAGCACTTAAGATAAGTAAAATCTCATCTCAACTTATAAATTTTGAGCAAATTATCCCCATTATTTCTCCATACAACATTGACCGTTATATAGCTTAACTAACATGCCATGTATCAAGAGAAGATTAGTGCCATAGTAGCATTTGATTGGGCTCTACAAAGTTAAAAGTAATGATGATTATATGTAACTTAATGGAAGGAGTAATTTACCTAAAATTTATAAGTTAAAGAAAATTTTTGCTCAATTTTGAGATTTTAAGACTTAGAATGCCATTCGAGTTTAGGATTTAGAATACTTATTAATAAAAAAAAATTCAACAAAGGCAACATGAGTTATAAAATTAACTTTATGTGGTGACGTGGAAAAGTTCTACATGGAAAAGGTGCCATTGAAATTTTGAGCCACGTCGACATGTCGATGTCAAAGTTTTGGTACGTTGACAATAATTAGTCACCGCTGAACTTAAATCGATACACTTTAATTTGAGTAATTTCTACATCCTCCATTGAATAAATTTCTTTTTCTTTTTTATATATTAAGACAAAGTTAAGAAACATAATGCACAGGAAAATGTTTCTAGGCTAAATTATTACAAAAAAATTAGGGAAAAAACTAAATACAGAATAAATTTCATTGACGTTAAATTTTAAAATTTATTATTATTATAACTATTTACCTAAAATTTTTCATCCATATAAAGTTGTTAATAGGCCCCTGTACTAAGAATCGGAGGCATTAATTCACAAGATTTTTATTGTATCCTACAACATTCTTATAATGCAAAATAAATAATTCAACGATACGTTAATGAAACAACTTAATATTATCGAACGTGAATCTTATTTCCTCAACATCATTGTTAAATATCTATAATATGTGTGTTTTCTTGTTTTGTTGGTAACAACTAATTAATAACATAGACTACATGGGATGTTTGCAGGGCTATCTGAAGACAAAATTATTTAAGAGATATTATTCCTTCCACTTTTCAATCCTTATTATAGAAAACTTTTTAAAAAAATTCTTTGGTCCCTAATATAAAACACATGGAAGGTCATTTATTACAATTTTTCAATTGTATCCCTATTGTAAATTTGATTTTATGACTCATCATATAATATTGTATATATCTCTCTCTTGCTATTTTTAATAGAGTAAAGTTAATTTTTTTTATTTTAAACATTAAATGAGTTAACTATTATTTTTTAATTTTTGTAAAAATTGCCTTATAACAGGGATGAGAGGAAATATTATTTATCTATTTATCTTCATTTTACTTTTCTTTATGATTGGTTAAATATATAGGATATAAGCACGTAATAAATTCTAAATTGAAAATATATCGTTAATAGTAATACTTAATGGGAAAAATAATAACCAATTATATAAGATATAAGTGAACATTTTTTGAGTCCTAAGGCAACCACCTCATTTGCCTAGTGTCACACACGGCCATAGACATGTGTTCTTATTGCGAAAATTATAGGTTTTATTTAACCTAGTTTCTATTATTTCGGAAAAGAGAAATAGAAAGCTAGAAAGTCATAAAAAAAGAAATCATAGCACTCTAAAAAATTCATAATTTATTCATTAATCAATATGAATCTAGCCAACGTTAAATAAAAATCAGTATCAACTAGACAGAACACCACTAAAGACACTGCACCAAATCTCAACATAAAGCAATTAATGTTACATTATGATTTAAATTCATATTTATTTCGATTCATCCATTATGAACCAAATGATTACAGTGTTTAATGACAAGATATATAAACATATACGCAATACAATTACGAACCGGCTAGCTAGGTTAATTAAAAAAAAAATAGAAGCTCTAAATATAATTAATAAGCAATAATAGAAAGCATTGAAGTTCAAACAAACAAGGAGAACTCAAAAATAGAATATATTCTATGCCATTTTTCTCACTCACGAACTAAAACTGATCAAGCCCTCACCTATCTCTTCTCTCTATAAATTCTCTCTCCAACCCTATCATTCACAGTGAAGAGAAGAGAGAGAATAATGTTTGGATCAAAGAAGAAGGCCCAGTTCAACGATTTAGACTTTATCAGTGGTCTTCCTGATGATATCCTATTGACAATTCTCTCTCTTCTTCCGATCGATGAGGCTGTGAGAAGCACCATCCTTTCAAAGAGATGGAAATCACTGTGGAAAAAAATCTTTCATTTTGATCTGCACGTGAAGCACATGATCAAACCCTTAACCCAGCTAGAGATTTCATCACCATCTGCTCAATTAGATTACATCCTCAAGCTTCCTAATTATCAAGGGATTCGCAGGTACAACATAATCATCTTCTTGCTCTTACATCAACACCGAGGTTGTCTCAAAAGCTGCAAGCTCACACACTTCCCACAGAAGGATATTCAGATTAACCTTTCTGTTTTATTTGAGAGACAAAAAAACATCGATGAACTAAGCCTTGAATGTATTCCCTTAAATGGTGAAAAGGTTCAACGTTTTCTAGGGTTAGAGCCTTATGGGATCTTTTCCTCTTTGTCTTCACTTGAGGTTGTGAATTACTACCTCGAATCTTCATTCCCTTTTGGGGGCTGTGTTAAGCTGAGAACCTTGAAACTTAAAATGGTCTACGTGGAAGATAAGACTCTTGATGCGATTCTTAGGAGGTGTCGCAACCTGGAAAGTCTTAGCCTCTTGGGGTGTTCTAAACTCAAGAACATGAAGATTCTTCATGTCAAGCTCAAGTTCTTGGAGCTTAGGGCTTTATGTGTGGACCAGATATTTGTTTGTGCTTCAAGCCTGGAGGTTCTAGATCTTTCTTCTTTGGCTTGTCGCCGTTTGAGTTTCGTGATTATTGCTCCTCAGCTTAGGGTTTTTCAATCTCACAATAAACCAAAATCGCACGAAGGACTTGTTATTCGCAGAGGAAATAATTCTGTTCTTCTGAGAACTCATGAGATTCTGGAGACTTTGGCTTTTCCTCCTGTAAGCTCTCTTTTTAGCTCTTTTTCTGTAACTTGTTTTGAAAATTCTTTTGGCGGTTGTGTTGATCTATTGGTTTATATTTTATTTAAATACATAAATATTTGTTGGAATGATATTATGAATTATGCTTTTTGTTCCTTTTGCAATTACTTCTTAGGGATCTCCAACAAGCAACATTTTTGGGGCTTATTTATCATCCTTGATCATTGACTTGGATTTGAAAATCAAAAGAGCTACCCAGATACTTTCATTCATATTGAGATCCTGTTTAAATTTGGAAACTCTGAAAATTATTACTCCGGTAAGTGACATCGTTACCCTTATTTATCCATTTTTATTTTGGCTAAATCATATAAAAATTTCTTAAATTTTTTGAGTTATATACAGATAATTCTTCCACCTTCAAATAACCCTACCATTCATTAGTATAGGATATAATTTTATATTATATATTACCTTTGGACCTACATAAGTTGTTTCTTATAAATAGGCCTAGAGTCCCTTGGGATATCCGATATAAATAGGCTTAGAGATAGTATAAATTAAAAAGTTTTTTATACTTTAGGTATCATTCATCCTAAACTTTAGGATAAACATGCATAAATAGTTTAATTAATGACCAAAAGGTTATATGCATAAAATTAAATTAAATACTTTAAGAGGCTTTATTATCAAATTTTAAAGGTTATGGAGTTTATTTCCGTAAAAATCTGTCACCTTCCCTTCATTAACTAAGTTAATCTATATGATCTTTCTTTTGAATGAATAGAATGTATGATATATGATATTCATTTAGGGAAAATTGTGCATGAGGAGTACTACAATGCATATATATATGGGTGAGAATTGTATGAAGAAGGGCCAGCACTTGAAGATCATTATTGTAGATTTCAAAATTTGCAATCAAATTTAAAGAGACTTTTAAGAATCTGTATTAATAATTCTTAAAACTCAATTGCAAATTTACAATGAACCTTAAAGGGCGTTCATTGCTTGATCGTTCTCCCAAAATTTTCACCCATTTGATCCTTGTTATGCACAATTTGTCACCCATTTGATCTTTATTAAGTTTAGAAGATGTGAATTTCATGAAATTTATCTTTTTTCGAAAGAGAGAAGATTTTATATTTTACAAAAAATAATAAAATGAGAAAAATATTAAAAAAATAAAAACCTCACTGAATTTACCTCAACTTTACAGGATTTGCTCCCCAATTTTATTATCATGTTTTCACCGATTAACTAATTTTTGCCACATCCCTCTCATCCTCTCAAAATTGGATAAGAAGACAACACCGTACTTTAATTCTTTGTTATTAATTTTCACGATATATCCACAGGTCTGCAGAGGTTCAAAGTTCAACCCTGTCCCTGATGCTGATATGAAATATCCTATGCTTTGGGAGAGAAGTGATGATGTGTGCCATTGTGTTCATCAAACCCTCAAGTTTGTGTCCATCGTTGGATTTACAGGCAGCCAACTTGAAGCGGATTTTGTGAAGCACCTCATAACCAGAGCTTCCTATTTGCAGAAGATTACTATCGTCTGTAAGAGCTCCAAGAAAGAGGTAAAATTTCTGGTGCCTCTGGAAGATCACAAAGCTTCGGCTAATCTCTCCATCATGGTCAAGATTGCAAGAACCAAAAGTCCTCTTATTGAGCTCAGTGAACTTTACAAGAACAAGTCCAGAAATTGCTTCATCATCAAGAAGTGAACTGGACCTACTTTCACAAAAATAGATATATATATATAAATATATGCTGCTTTTGGAGAGACAATATAGATGACATATGGAATCTATACCTGGTTACTTCCTTTTTTGTGTAAACATGCAGGAATAAGGAGATCAGTACTTTGGTTCTATACTGCTAGTACTGCAAATCTCAATAATAAGTGCGAGCGAATAATTAAATTATAAACCATGCATATGTTGCTGGTGGTTGTTATAGTTTTCGTTGTTTCTTGAATTTGATTTTATTTTTGTTGTTCTAAAACTCTTGCTGTTCCTCGTGTGCTTGTATTCAGATAACTTGTTCATGTGAATAATTCAGTGTAGTTTCTCATATTTTATTTGCGCCCATATACTTAGCATTGATGTTAACTACTTGTGTACTTCATTCAATCCTAAATGCAGGAACTAGCTGAGAAGTTTATTTTGGTCTTGAATATAAGACGTTGATTTTCTCTGTCTTCAATATATATTATATTTTTCCCAAACTACTCCTATTGATTATTGGTACTTTTCAATGTAAATTAAAAAGGTGGGGTATTTTAAGAAAATCAACACAATTTTTTTTACATGATAATTAACTAACTAAACTAATTAATTCCTCTGGTCCAAAATATAAGTAATTTTTAACAATAACCCATGTACCAATAAAATCCTTTTTTTCATGAAATTTATATTATTTTTTCTGTTTACTCTTAGTCCCAATTATCAATGATATGAGTGACAAGAAGGTAATAAATTCCTACAAGAATCCAAGTTAATAAATACAATGGGTAAAATGGGAAAAAATTACAACTGCTAAGATGCTTATATTATATAGGAAGATTAGCTAAAAGAAAATGTTAATATTTTGGATTGGAGGGAGTAATTTCCTTAATATGTGTAAGTTAATTATCTAGCTCCTACATTTTGGATCACATGTAATTTAACAAAGGCATCATTCTTGCTCATTTCTATATATTGGGCGACATTAATCTCAGACATTGTCTTATTCAATTTTATTTTAAAAAGTGAGATAATGGGTTGACTCTATTTCCCCCTTCATTTTTATTGTAATTGAATAGAGAGTGAGATAATATATTTGACAAGCGTTAATAAGCATTTTGGCTTTAAAGTATTACCCGAAAAGCACCTCAAATCCTAAACTCCTAAAATGTGAAAAATAAACCTCAAACTTCTAAATTCAAAGCAAATTATCCCCTACCGTTAACTCATGCTTAACATCCTTACTGTTCACTTAGTAGGACCTAGTTAAAATGCTAATGTGGCGGTCCCTTACTGATGTGTCATTTGTTAATGAGCACTACATACCCTAAATTATTGTGCAAATAGCATCCTAGATCCTAAACTTTGATATTCAAAGCAAATTATTCCCACCATTTATATATAGAACATTGATTTTTATATAGATCAAATTAGCCTCAGCGTGGTCCTTTGCGGCGAATGCATTGTTGGTTGTGGTGAATGACCCATAATTTTATGAAATGATATTTTTGCCCCTTTTTTTTGCAATGTGTTCCAAAAGATTGGTATCTCATGCTTTTATATATTCTATAACTCTGATTAGTCTTATTTTAAATAATGTTTATTTATTTAATTGTGAAAACTTGGGATTCTATTTGAAAAGAAGTTTAAGTATTAGAGGATTTTACAGACGATGGATGTGAAAGCCAATGATTTCACCAACGAATTTCGAACCTAAATTAACCAATTAATTAAAATCCTTTTATATTTAAACTTCTTTTTAAATGGGATCCCAAGTTTTTACCATTAAATAAATATTATTCAAAATAAAACTAAATTAGAGTTATAAAGCATACGAAAGCATGAAATACTAATGTTTGGAAAACATTGCAAAAAAGGGCAAAAAGCTCATTTCATAAAATTTTGGATCGTTCGCCATGGCCAACAATGTGTTCATCATGGTAGATCATGCTAAGACTAATTTGGTTTACATAATAATCAACATTCTACACATGAACAATAGGAGTAATTTACTCTAAATTTTAAAGTTCAGGATCTAAGATACTACTAGCATAATAGTTTAGAGTTTGTGGTATTCATTAACAAATGATATATTAGTAAGGGACTGCTACATCAATATTTTGACTAGGCTCCACAAGTGAACAGTAATGACATTAAGTATAAGTTAATCGTGGGGGTAATTTACTATGAATTTTTAGAAGTTTATGATCCATTTTGCATATTTTAAGAGTTTAGGGTCTAAGGCTCTTTTCACATAATACTTCAGGGTTTAGAATACTCATTAATCCTCTTTGACAATGACTGATAAATATTGCATCATACTTTTAAATTAAAGGGTTCTATATTTAGGACCGAAGAGAGTATCTTGAATAATCTAAAATAAATTTCTTTCTTTGTTTTTTTCTCCAAATGTTTAGCAGCAATGAATGCATGCTTTTTTCACCGATGCCTACGTTGATAATTTTGCAAATAATACCTTATATTACAACATCCAAAAGAAACGTAGGATAAGTAATGAAACTGATGGATTAAGTCAATGGCTAGCGGCTAGCTAGATAATAGGGAGTTCAATCTTAATCCTTGCGTATATGTAGTAATTTGAGAGAGGTCTACTCTTTGCCTTTAATATTTTGGGAGAGATAATCTTTACTCTCCGTGGTGACTGTTCCTTGAAAGAGGAGTGAAATCAATGGCAATAATTCAATAATGGCATACCTAGTGCAAATCTGTATAGGTGAACCTACACAAGTTGCATGGATATGACTCAAATTGATTATTGTACTGTACTGTAATTAAATGAGATTGAATTGCAATTTGCTTGAGAAGGTCAACTTTATCTCATTTAATTTATTATGTCAGGCCACACATGGTCTCATATTTTATCTGCATATTAAATGAGTTACATGTACTGTTTTTGTAATTAAATGAGACCATAATAATTAATTACAATTTTTATTTGCAGAGCAGTTGACTTCATCTCATTTATTATTAACTGGGCCTATTTTATTTGTATATGAACCTCCACTAGTTTAAATTTCAGTGTTCTCTTCTCTGAAACTACACCATTTCTCACATATATGAAACCAACGATAAAGCTTCTTTATCCAACTATGGAATTTTCTTTTAACCTCTTAGTTTCAACACAAACATGGTTTCGGTATGCTATGCTTCTCATGCTAGCTAGCTTGACATTGTGCCTAACCATAAAATTCCCACCCAAAGACAGAATTGAGAAACCTTGGACACCCAAACTCCCTCCTGGTCCTCAACCATGGCCTCTCATCGGAAACCTTCCGGAAATGGTCGCAAACAAGCCAGTTTTCAGGTGGATAGACAAATTGATGAGTGACTTCAACACTGATGTTTTATGCTTACGCCTCGGTTACTACTTTTATTTGTACTTCAATTTTGAACACCTTTCATTTCTTAATATACAAGGGCCGTTGTTAAACTATGCAAAGAAAAGATATAATCAATGGCATAGGGCTTGTTACACTTATTGGCTAAAAAATTATTTATACTCTCTCTTGTCCTAATTATAGGGTAAAGTTGATTGATTGCACTTTTCTTAAGAAGTAGTAGTTGATACTTTAAATTTGTAGAAAATATGTGACTTTTCAATTTTTCCCTTCATTGAAATTAATGGCCATAATAAAATGTTGTATGCAAATTAAAAGCTGGTGTCAACAACTTGTTGCAATCAATGAGGGGTAAGGTTGGAAAAAAATTAACTATAATATCTTTCCCAGTGTTTTAGGACCAAGCAGGGTTTTTAAATTTTAGCCGATAATTAGGACTAGAAGGATTATACTCTAGCCCTTGGGATGGGAAGAAAAATAATGAGGAGGAAAAATAATGGAGAGTAAAACTTTTAAAAATAGTAAGTTTTTTAAAACTATTTTTAAGATTCTTTCCTTGTATTCTCTCCTCTTTGTTTTCTTTCCATTTTCCCCTCCATACAAATATCTTTTGTTTTCGAAGTCTAAAAAAAATATTACTTCACTCTAAAATGTACTCAATATTAATATACTTTTCCCCTAGCTAGGTAGCGTTCATGTTGTGCCTGTGTCATGCTCCAGAATTGCTTGCGAATTCTTGAAGAAGCAGGACGCTAATTTTGCTTCAAGGCCTCTAAGCATGGCTGCCGATCTCATCTCAGGAGGATATTTGAACACTACTCTTGTACCCTTTGGAGAACAATGGAAGAAGATGAAGAAACTGGTAAGAAATGAACTGATTTCTCCAATGAGACTTCAATGGCTTCATGACAAGAGAGCTCAAGAAGCAGACAACCTTGTAAGGTACGTGTATGGTATGTGCAACAATAATACTGAGAACAAAGGAGGTCTTGTGAATCTCAGAGTTGTCTCGCAGCAATATTGTGGGAATGTGATTAGGAAAATGATTTTCAATAAGAGGTATTTTGGGGAAGGGGGGAAAGATGGAGGGCCTGGATTTGAGGAAGAAGTACACGTGGATGCCACTTTCACACTTCTGAGGCTTCTGTATGCATTTTGTGTTTCTGATTTTATGCCATGTTTGGGAGTCTTTGACTTTGATGGGCACGAGAAAGTGTTGACCAAGGCTCTTGAGACATTTAAGAAGTATCATGATCCCATTGTTGACGACAGAATCCAACAATGGAACGATGGAAGAAGAAGAAAGGAAGAGATGGAGGATTTGCTTGATGTCCTCATTTCTCTTAAAGATGCCGTTGACAATCTATTGCTTACGCCAGTGGAAATCAAAGCTACAATTATAGTAATTACTCTATACCCTCATTTCTTTTCATCTCTATCTACACATATATCTTTCATTAGACTCCTAGACTATAATAAATGGCATTAATAACTACAAAAAATAGATGAAACCTTAATCTCTTAAAAAAATTTATATTTTTCCAATTATACTTTAATTAAATATGATATGTAAGTTCTTTAATAATAATTAAAATTCTAGTGCATCATTTTTTTAAAAAAGAATAATAAAAAAAGTGAAGGTATAGTTAAAAAAAATTATAAAAACCAATTAATGTCAAATATTTTGAATTAAACAATACTTTTAAAAGATACCCTATATTGTAATTCAGAGGGAGTAGTAATAATCTTGGGACATGGGGTCTAGCTCTAATGCCTCACTATCTAATACTCTTTGTGATGCCTTACTTTTTTAATATTTTTACTTTTTTTTATCATTAGTTTCTAATAAAATAAGAGATATTTTGATATCTTGCTGTGATAAAATTGTAAAATTTTGCATTTTTATGAATTTTCAAAGGAAACAAATAAAAATGCACAATTTTTTGGATATTTTTCTTTAAAAAATTATTGAAAATGCAAAATTTCTTTGTTTCATCACGGTAAGGTATCAAAATTAGTAGGTTGTATATATAACAGTAGCAAAAGATCCAATCTGATTAAAGTAACCTCATTAGTTTCTTTCAAACCCATTTCAATCAATGCAGGATTTGATGAATGCAACAGTAGATAACCCATCAAATGCACTAGAATGGGCAATAGCAGAGATGACAAACAAGCCTGAGTTATTAGAAACAGCCACTCAAGAACTAGACAGTGTGGTCGGGAAACACAGGTTAGTACAAGAATCTGATCTATGGAAGCTCAATTACGTCAAGGCTTGTGCAAGAGAGGCCTTTCGTCTTCACCCAGTAGCACCATTCATTCCTCCTCACGTGTGCATGGCCTACACTGTGGTGGCTCACCACTTCATGATCCCCAAAGGGAGTCATGTGATCCTAAGCAGAACAAGACTGGGTCGAAACCCTAGAGTCCGGGAAGAAGATGCTGACGAGTTCAAACCAGAACGCCACATTAGAAAGACAGATAGTCATGATTCAGATGATGATGTTGGTTCGATGAGTTTGACAGAACCAGATTTAAGGTTCATATCATTCAGCATAGGAAGACGAGGATGTCCTGGAGTTACACTTGGCACTTCCATGACCCTAATGCTGTTCGCAAGGTTGTTGCAATGCTTCACTTGGAGTGTACCACGTAATGTGTCCCGAATCGATCTTAGTGAGTCTAAGGATGATCTTTCTCTTGCTGTACCTCTGGTTGCTACTGCAAAGCCAAGATTGCCAGTTGAAGTATTTCCTCTCCGTGAATAAAGGTGTATGGAATGAATGAATAAACCAAACTTGTTTAACATAGAGCGTGATCCAACTCATCAATATTCCGTTCTCAGCAATATAATTCAGTTTACATCTGCTTCTGTTTTTCTCCTCTCTCGATCTGTCTGTAACTTTTATTAAATAGAAATGCTTCAATCAACAAAATGTATATTTCATAAGGATAAAGTTAAAAACTTGTTAAATTTTTAAATATTATTAATAGGGTTTAAGATTTTTCTTGATTTCGATAAAACATGTTAAAAGTCACTAATAAATAAAATGGATGGAGTATTTTAATAATATATTTGTCTTATAAAAATTTAATAATGTGACTTATATATATATGATAAAAAAAATCCTTTCTCTTATAAATAGATTAAGGGAAAATTTAACATCACCACACATAAGATTTTTGGATTTAAGGAAATCTGCTTTTGATAGAACAGTGTGCCGAGCTCTGAAATTGGTTTGGGCCAAATGACAGAAATCAATCATTTCAATCCCTAATTTAAACAAATCATTGTCAAATATATATTTGGTGGTTATTAAAATCGTTAAATTTATCCATGCTTAGAACCGTCAAATATAAATACCATTTATAATTGATTTATAAATTCTAACTGAGTGTAGTTTTGTTATTTAGCTTAACCATCATATTTAAATATTGCCATCATTAGTAAATATTGTATTTTTCTTGTTATATATTCATTAAGTTTGCATATTATTATGGTTGTACATAAGTAGACATATACTCAATAAATAGACATGCATGGCACAATTTATTCCCAACTTTGACTCTTAATCTTCAATTTTCTCTCCCTAAATTTAAGGTCATAAATTTTTGCTTGAGAGTTATTTCGATCGAGTTCATGTTTGCTCATTTTTTAATGCTCATTAATAAAATTAGGTCAAGCAAAAGAATTAGTATTACCTCCATCCCAAATTATAAGGCACTTTTGAAGAAGTTTCACCGTATCAAAATATAAGACACTTTGAATATATTAAGGTTTCATTAAATGCACCAATTTTAATATTACTCTTTATCTCTCTATAATTAGTTTCCATCCTTTTTCTTTTTAATCTATTAAATGATGGGTATTTTGAAAAGTTTATATTTTTATTTTGAAAAGATAAGGTTGTTAAGTGTATTTAATAAGGTTTATTGGCATGTTAAATTTTATTTAAAAGTATCTTATAATTTGAGATAGAAGGAGTATTTTACAACAAGGTAATTAAGCATGTTCAAATTCTCATTGGGATTGAGAAGTAACCATATTTAATACCCCAATAATCATACCTTGAATAGAATTACTTTCAGTAAGAGAACCTTGATATGCAATAAATAAAATATGATTTTGGTCCGTCTGTTTTCCCTACTTAATTACTTCTATGGTTATTAATTTTAGAATGGGGCAAGTGTGTGTTGTTGTTGGCTTTTTTTTGTTTTTTTTTTTGAGCTGATATGCTTGATTTGATTTTTTTAATATATGTTACCATGTAAGCTACTCTATCTATTTAAAAATATAAGACATTTTTAACCGAATCTTACCTCCAATAAAGTAGTTACCTACTTTTAAACTAACTCTATCTTTTCATATTTACCTTTATTAAACACCCTACAATAAATATAAAGTCATTTATCAATAGGGACACTTTAAAAAAAAAAAGCAATGATTACACTTTAAAAAACTAAAAATGTCTTTCATTTTTGAACATCTAACTTCTCAAAAAATGCCTTAAATTTTTAAAAGAAGGAAGTATTGAATAATTTTTAATTTGTATGAATAATATTAAAAAGATAACTATTTTGTAATAGAAGAAAAGAGGGGGAAAGGAATCTTATTCAAGGAAGGAAATTTTTCTTTTTGGAGAGGAAAAAATCACCCCTTCTAGTATTCTAATTTCCTCATGCAAGTTTCTTCAAACTTTTCAATTTTAGATATAATTATTAAGATTAATCAACTTTCTTCAATTGTGTAAGTTGGTTAAAATTTCCTATATTCATAAAAATAAGTTTGCTTATATTACCTCTTATCCTTCTTATAGGGCACTTTCTAAAAGTATTTTTTGATAATTAATAGAAGGTACTTGATGAGATATTAATTACATTTTTTCAATGTTATCCTATTTAAACTCATTAACTATATGAGAGAGAATAGAATACAAGTTTAAAAATCTTTCATTTAAATAAGGATAAAACTGGAACTTTATTTTATTTTTAGAATGACCTCTTTTGAATTATGGTATTATTTTATTTTTAGAATGACCTCTTTTGAATTATGGTAAGTAATTAGAGGTGCTTTATAGAGTATAACTTTTGACTATATTCACTTATTAGGCATTAACTAAACTTTTATATTTTTTAACATGCATGTTTAGAAAAAACTGGTTCTTATAATTAATTAGGGAACATAATCTTCGTGGCAAGCACATGATCTATGTTAAAATCACAATAAGTCCGCAACAAGCGACGATATTGTAAGTGGTGACAAATTAATCAAACAAGACAAATTGTATTTGGAGGATGTTATCAACAACCATAAACATCACTACTAAAAATAAAAAGACTCTTGTAGCGATTATTATTATTTTTTGGTAGCGTTTACTACAAGATTCAGTACTATCCAAGTGCAAATTCTAGCTAGCGATCAGCACGCGTCATTGTGATTATAAATTAATTCTAGCGATGTGTTTGGTGATACGCAAAAATAATAGCGGCAATCGTAACAAGAGTAGCCAGCAAAATCAATCTCACGATATTATGTCTCATGACAAATGACTAGTTTACTTGAAAAACACTGACTTTGGGGATTATCAAATTAAGTCGAACACAAGATGGCACCGAAAATGAAAAGAAGCGTGTGAAGCTGAGAGATAAAATGGCAGCAGGATTGCAAGAAGGTGGTAAATGGACTCAAGAAAGTAATGAAAATTATACTGTGAATTATCTAGATATATATAGATTAATGCTAATTGGGGATAAAGCAATGGCTCAATAGGCAAACATTGCACGAGGAAATTAGTGTATGTATCCAAGAACACATGGCTACCATTGAAAGGGATCTGGATTTCGAGTGTCCCAGATCTTCTCATCTAATTAGTAAATGGTGCCTATGCCCTCTAGTTCTAATTGTAAGACACATTCTAGAAGATCTATTTGATCTCATTTATAAGTCATAGTGTGACTTTTTAAGTAATATTTAAAACGTATTTTTAAAATTACCTTCATAAGAGAAAAAACTAACATGACATCACTTTTTAAATTTGTTATATAGGGGTATATTACTTTTTTGTATTATTATTGATGAAGTTAGTAGAAATGACTTTTAAAGAAGTACATTGTGGTAGTATAGTAGGATTTTATTAATGCTTAAAAATTCGTGCCTAATGAAATGCTAAGTTAAACAGATGACAATTTTAAGAAAATCCATTTCAACCATTTCTTTGCAGCCATATAAAATATTGGATTGACGTGTAAGGTAAAACAAAAGGTAATGGGTGAGAGGATTTCAGACACTTACCAAATTTGGATCCATCGGCATTGAAACACTACAACATTTTTGCCTTATAATAACAACAGTTTAAAAAATGTCGTTATTATAAATATGAAAACTGTTATCTTTAACTTTAGGTAATATTTTTCAACTATTACATATTATTCCAATGTTATTTATTGTCTAAAGTAACAGTTATTTTAAAATTTGAGGCAACACTTTGCAAATTATTATAAAACTAAGTGTTGGTAGAAATGAAAAAAAAAATGTTGTAAAGAGGAAAGTAAGATTACTTATGTTATAAAAAAAGTAAGATACTTAAAAAAATAAATGGGAAAATTTTAAAGTCAAAATGGCTAAAATATAATACTATGCATATTCACTTTTTGTGAGACAAAAGAGGAAATAAGGGAACACCTATTTTTCTAGATGTAGTGGTAAAGACAACTTTTTAGACTGACTGAAGATTGGATTATTGGCTTGTCAGTATTTAATAGATTGAACATATATATTCCCCATTTTTTTCCATACAAGTATATATAGTAAAATCCAAATAAGCAATTCTATGATGATGATATCAAATTTCTACGATTTATACCATGTATGAATTGATAGAAATCATAGGACTTTCAAAGGTGAGAAAAAATGGATATTCAAATGTTTTTTGAACAGATAAAGGGAAACATAGCTATGATAATTAGACACTATATTGTCCTAAAAATGTCTCATATATAAGAATAGAATTATTTGAGAAGGCTGAATAATATCATATAATGATGACTACTAGCTAGAAAGTATTTATATTTCGGTATATAAGCAATATTCTTTAGTAGTTGTATGACGTTTTTATTAATTTTTTTTATTATGCAAAGTTTTTGACACTAAACAAATTAAATAGATCATGAAGAAACTGAAACCTGCTTTGGCTTGAATTAAAAAATGGAAGTAGTGAAAGTGAATCGATCACTTACAGCAATTGAGCAAGCAGTATATCCAGATTTCTCTTCGGGCTCTACTGTGGAACAAGCTTGAATTATTGCCCCAACGTACCAAGGAAGTGTAAGGAAGAAACCTAAAAAAAACCTTCAGAAGACTAGAAACCTTGTTGGAATCAACAACTCAAAATAAACTACCACAAGTGGTTGTTGTGGTAAATATGGAGAGTGTTTGCGTTTATTTCGAAGCATCAGATCCTAGACCCTTAAGATTTAATATTTTTTACCTTAATAGATGTAGAATATGAATATATATATATATATATATATATAAAGACAATCTTGTAAATTGTAACTACTACTATTTGACAAAAAAAGATATTTATCATTTGAAAATTATAAATCAACACTTTAAGTTTGAACCGTGAAATTTAGATAATTATGAGCATTCAAAGGAAAAATACTTCCACTCAATGCCCTACGATTATGAGATCTTGAATCATTGTACAATATACTATCTAAACTTCTCATAAATACCATGACGTAAATTTTCACTTACAAGAACCAG